GCGTACCTATTTTTTTAATTTTGGATATTTTAATAATAAAGAGCAATTCACTAAAACAATTCAGAAATATATTGCAGTCGTCAAAGAAATCGTCATATCAGCGGAATGACGAAATAAACAAAAAGTTCCGAACACAATTTTTTAGAACAACTATTTTACTGTATAAAAATGATATCTTCATAAATATAACTTAAAACCAGCAGGAGCACAACTCAAAGCGTAGCGGTACCGCGATTTAAGATTTTCCTGAATAATTCTTACATTATTTTATTGTTTGTTAATTTTACAACTTTACCATATTTTGCATGCACTGGCGAACATTTGGTGAAAATTTGATTAAAATCGGACTGATATTGAGCACGCGGTAGCGATTTTCCGCAAAACGCCAAAAAGGTGTCCTGTAACCTTAATTTGTGTATATATATATGCTCACTTGGATTATCCACCAAACTCCGCATTCACGTTCAACCAAGTGAAGTGCAAAAAACAACTTTCAAGTTCATAATATATTTAAACATGGGTAATTTGCATACAAAGCGGTGGAGGTCTAATGATATTCTTGGGTTACCGCGCCAGTGCGCTGAAAGCTACCTGTACCTGATGACGTGGGGGAAAGGAAACAGGGCAAATTTAAAAGACAGAACAGGGGTTGTTATTTTTGTACGTTATCAGATAATTTGCTGTTTAAGCAATTATTTTCCCTCTGTATTTTCCATTCTTGACCTGTATTTGTTTGTTTTTAGGATGAAACGTTAGCGATGGAGATGATTAGTTCGTTCGTGGACTCCATTCCCGATTGATTAGAGACCGTGAGTATTATTAATACAATATGAACAGTATCGAACAGGGTATGAATTTAATAATGGACATGCATGAGCAGATAACAGGGAGTCACCTTGAGCTACATATATATGGCATATGGGAGAGTTGGGTTATATGTTCGCTGAATTTCCGTTTCTTGTTGTCTAATAACAAGAATTTTCTTTGCCTGGGTTTGGACGTAAACCTCTGAATATTAGCCCACACGTTTTCGTAATCAGAGACGTAATTGTGGAGAGTCCCCTGAATACGAGATCGAGAAAGATTGAAATGTTCGTGCTATTGTCATGGGTGTGCGCGAACTCATGTCGAAAATATACATGTATATTAAAAACACATCACAAATGTGTCAAAAACGTTTTCGTCTCTCTCAAGATGATTCTGTAATAACACAACGATATAATACAAATATATCTACGTCATTTAACATATTTACGAGCTCTGATAAAATAATTCTAGCAACTATAGTCATTAAATGTTTCGTTGCTGTGGCCAACACAACTCAATAGCTTAATACTGTAATGTCAATGCGTTAACTGCAGAATGTGTGATTCGTGTTTGTCATCTGTTTAATAGACTTGCGCAAGAATATATTTCTCTTTGATATATTAATTTCTCTTTGATCTTATCTTGACCCTATTCCTATTTTGCGCGAAACATGGAGTCATAACCAAGGAGTCATAACCAAAACAACTTTTATGCCATATGTAAAGACACGGGTACAATATTGTTTCTTACCGATAGTTTGTGTACTAAGGGAAAACATGCATATACAAAATGCACATTGCCTCAAACTACACAAAGCAATGCTGTGAGCAGCAAAATACGTTATCGAGCTACCTTAACTGCCATTATACACCATTCCTATATGATGTTTCTTCATTTAGTCATAGCTCATGTTTGTTGTTTTTTTGTTCACCCAACTTTATGGTGCGGTCGCGCAGTATTCGCATTTCTTTACTTTGAATCTGTGGGTTAACAACCTTGATTTTCTCTTCATCTATTAACAAAGTGTTGTCTCCATTAACTTGCACTAACATCTTATCTGGTATTTGTTCACCACGGGTATACGACTGGCCATTCTTCTGTTTACCTAATTTCTCTTGTCCATTTTTCTGTGTGTGTTTGCTACAATTGTTATCTGGTGTTGATTTCCTCAGCATGTACTCATCTCTTTTATTGGCAGCTACTGCCTCGTGGTCAAATTGTTTCTGTAATGCCAGAGCTAAGTCATAATCACTATTCGGGTTGCTTGTTAATGAATTTCCTATATAAAAATTACATTAAAAAATGTTTAATTCTAATTGGTTGAAGTTTATACCATAATACATGTATATACATGCAGTGTCAATACTGTGCTAAAAAATGCTGCAAATATATTTATAAATATTTAAATTTGTGAAAAACATTATAAACATCTTCTATAAGCAAATCTTAATTGATCACGTTACATGCCGTATTTACACAAAACAATTCAATGAAAATAAAGCCACGATATTTTTATCCCAAGTCGTCATTGAATTAAGGTAGAATTAATAAAAAAGACACTAACCAGAGTCTTTGTCCTTGGAGAAAAAGTATTTGTTTAAAGTATAGGATCTTCTTTGATGTTTAGTTGTTTTCTTTCTCTTTAAATCTTTGGAGTTCATGTTTGTAGTGTCATCTCCTGTTTTTGATTCATTTCTGACAAGTTTTGAAGAACCTTCTTTGTTGTCCTATTTCAAGATATGTAAAATAAATAACAATTGTACATCACATCTACTAAGTACTGAAAATTCCATAGTATGGGAAGTGAGTTTTAACCTTATAGAGGAAAACATTTAGTTACTGTATAGTATATGTACAGCCAAAACTGTACATATATGTATAATAACCTGTGCAAGCAAACACCTGATCTGAATCCTGCATCCTACTGTATAATGCATTCTGCAGTGCAGGTTATTCAATTCCAAACAACATCATTACTGTAGATTTTATTGACAAATTTCTCCTAAGGAGTAAGGGCCTGTTCATATATGAGCCCAGTTTGTTGGGAAGCTCACTTCTGTGTTCATATGACTGTTTTTATCCTACCTACAGTAATATCCCTCCTCGGTGGGACAACATTGTGTAAACATGGCGTCTTCGAAATATTTTTTGTTGCAATTAAACACCAAAAACTGTACCTTGTATAAGTTGTATTACGACTTTAAATTTAATAGTGTCTATGAGTTCTATTAATATTTATTTTTGTTTGTATTTTCCGTTTTGTATTAACTATGCCGTTCAATACTATATTGTAGGTCAAAATCGGCCAAAAATGTCCATCCTAGTCAGGTGGGATAAAAGCTTCATGCATATGGAAGATTTTATCCCACTTGACTGAGATCCCACAAGGCGAGATTTCACCTGCCTCCTCCGCAGGCCCTCTTGTGTCATGGGAAGGTCACGATTTCGAGAGGGCCTGCGGAATCTTGTAAAATGAATAAATGTTGTTCTAAACCTGCTTCGTTAAAGAAGGCAGTTTTATCCGTGCAACGTTGGTGTGGACAACAAACCTTATCGTTAAAAAACGCTTCCTTCCACGTCCTATAAGAGTCGCCATTTTAATTTACAAGTTTCACGCCGCTTTTTTTAATCCTGTTTATATTCAAGATTATGTATAAATTTATTTGCTGACGTGACGCCGGCGCCATTTTTTTTACAAGATTCCGCAGGCCCTCGCCAGATTGTGTGTGACCTTCCCATGACGCAACGAGGGCCTGCGGAGGAGGCAGAGATCTCACCTAGCCGGTTGGCTCGTTGAATACAATGAATTTTATAGGTGTTAAAGTGCACCTAACCTCAATTCTTCTAACATTCTAACATCTCATTCCTAAGAATCTTTGAAATGATATTGTAACTTATTTTGAAGATTTTCGTTTGCACACTTTAGTTTGAGTTATTTCAGTTTTATTGATATGCAAATGTCCGGAATTTACGTCACATATAAATAATGACTGATCAAAGAATGTAAGGTACAGTTAAATATCACGAAATAAAAAGGCTAAATGGTGTTTTACATATAGGTATATGTAATCCTCCCACAACTCCAAACTTCATTTAATGAATTAAACTCGATAGTGAATACGATATACAAGCTTTTACTTTAAATCATTATCCATGCATTTGTGACGTAAATTCCGGATATCTGCATACCAAACAAACTAAATATCTCGGAAACAAAGTGAGCAAACGAAAATCTTCAAAAGTCGTTATTATATCATTTCAGAGGTTCTTAAGAATGAGATGATAAAAATAATTAGGTGCACTTTAACAGAGGGCATGCAGATCTCACTCAGGCGAGTTTCCCTCCCGGTTAGCAGGACTCATTGAACAGGCCTCAAAAGACAATAGACCTTATGCATAATGACGTCACAAGGCTTGATGCCCGCGAGGAATGCTGGTCTTAGTAGTCATCGCCCGGGAAAATTTCGACAGTGGCCATTTTGAATTGTTTCATTTTCCCAGGCAATGACTACCAAGACCAGCACTCCTCGCGGGCATCAAACCTTGTGACGTCATTATGCATAAGGTTTATTGATCGTTACAAAAAAATTATACAATACCTGAGTTTGTTGGCTAGAGAGTTTCCTGGCCAACTGTTCATCCTCTTTCTCCTGTTGTAGTTGTAGAGCTTGTTCTTCTTCAAGAATATTTTTGATAAGATCCTTACTTGCTTGTTCCTCTTTTTCTTGCACTTGTATTATCTGCAATATCACACACATTGTATAATATGGTTTGTATATATTTGTCGTATGCTGTATCTTTACATCCATTCCAAACTGAATGGATCAACATTGTCATGGAAATAGAAAATTTATTCTTCATTACAAAAAAAATACTATTGTAGCAAATCCGGCCAGACACTTCGCAAAACATTGGGGGACCATACGAACATGCACCTTTTGTTCCTGGAAATCTTAGTTCTTTAAACTTTTATATTGCCTTAAATTCCATGCATTGTATAGCTTAATTTATAGCTTACCACGCTTTCATGGTCGAAAATAGTTGCCACATGAAGCTTTGTTACACGGTTATTCAACTATCAATTTTAAAAAAGGTTTTCTGAAATTATTGGAGGGAGGTGCGGTTGCCCCCTCCCCCTAGTTTCCGCCACTGTCACATATCGATCTACAATCGAGTTTTCTACCTTATTCATTTCATGTTCATACTCTTGTCTCAGCTCACCAGACTTTGCCAAAACTCGCTTGGGTGGTGGTTGATTTGCTGAAAGTAACAATTTACACTTAAAATTTCCATCTACAAAACCAGTTCAATGAAGTGAGACGCAAAAAAATTACTGATATTTAGTTCATGCTTGCCCTTAATAGTCAAACTGGATATTTGTATTGAGATTCTGATATTTCCGTTGAGACCTCCCACTGCAATTGTCCAAATATTGTAACTGCAGTGTTCGATGAAATGCTTCATGCAATGTCTCAACTGAAACATAACTTTGAAAGTACTCGTCATTGTTTTTTACAATAAGATTAAATGAAAGTCATGGCCGTAGGTTCAATTCCTACCAGAGGACCTTGTGCTGCATTTTTCGCAGTCGTTCCTGGTTAGATCTTAAAATGTATATATTCTCACTTGGATTACAAACCCTAACATTCTAATATTAATTCCACCAAGTGAAGTGCAAGAATCCAAATTATTGAAGTCCGATAAAACATGGCCTCCTTGGAGGGGTTTATTGCAGGGGGTCGGTCGTTCCGTATAAACCGTCGTAATTTTTTCTCCATCGTTAACCGCCAGTATTTTCTTCGTGAAAACCGTATCCGTCATTTTTCTTTGAGAAGCATTTAACTGATATATTCAGGAATTTTGCGAAGCATCTGCAGTTGGGGTGTGAAATGTGAAAGAATTTTACCTGAATAGGAACTTAAATGTTCACTATGTGTGACTCACATGTTTTGGGTACCTCGCAAGGTGCAGATTCAAACGATATCTCTCTTGTATAACGAACTATATTTTTGCAAGCTTGCGTGTGGAAGTACAGGCAGGAGGGCAAAATTCTTGCCGCCCTTTTTCTGAACAAAGAAAGTTAAAAACAAAATACTTCAGCCGTCTATTATAAAAAAATACTTGTCTTAAGCCTTTTATCATGTATAAGTACAGGAGCTAGGAAACCTTAGCTTATACTCTGCTATTTCTATAGCTACAGGAGATAAACTAAGATCGCCTGTTATACAAGTTGGTCAAAGGAATCAACAAATAATAGACCCATTGCACTAAACGTCACAAATCCTTAAAGTGTCCTCCAGATGCTACCTAACAATATCTGTTCGGGTACAACAACCACATACAGCGAAAAAATTAACCATCTTAAACTTTTACAAAATTTGCTTTGTTTACAAAAGTTATATTATGCATAGATTGCTAATTTGTCCTCCAGATGCATCGTTACTGGCGCTGTGACGTCATGTGCAATGGGTCTATATCTAGTTTGAATGATTTCATCATTTTTTTAACCTTTGTCTTTGACGAGACTGCCAGTCTGCCACCTTTGAAACTAACATTTTACTCGCTTGTAATGTCATGCATATAGAGATGCATTCACTTGCATATCAAATGAAACTAAAATATCTCGAGCATGTTCTTTCTGCCTAAACTGAAATTTCGTTACAGTACCATTACAGTAAACTCTCTTGTTTTCATGTACATGGGCAAATATCACGTACAGAAGACAATTACGCCGAATCTAAAATTTATTTTGAAGGTACCGAACTTTTTCGAAATATTTCTATTTGCCGTAATTTGGAGATAAAAAGATAGTCCGCGCTTTTTTGCAATAACCCATATAGGCCATAATTAGTGTACTTTTCTTTCTAAAAATATTCTTTATCTTGATACCATTGTAATAAACCACAATAAGATCCTTGACCTTGCATGCAGGTTTGCATGGTAAAAATAAATAGAATTGTTTTGTGGACACGTTTATTTCTTTGCCTAATTGGCGAAGCTTTTGATCCGAGTCCAGTCTTCATTGGTGCTATAATAATTTAAATTAAGACACCTGCACGCATGGTGTCGGCACTGGTGAAGATCCATGCGCCTAATAATTTAAGACACCTGGTGAGGATCCATGCAGGCTTACGAATCGAAAGCTAGTATATAATACAACATACATGATTAACTTGATTTTTCCACAATTACCAAACAAATATATTTCTGGCATGCATGCAATCATGCAAACAAGGCTTTCAGGTCTCCTTTAATTGTCTCTTTAACTGGATCTTGACGAAGAACAGTTTCATTACTGACTAATGGAGAAGAAGATTTTGCAAGAATAATAGTGGAAGAGAAACGACAAATACAAGATTCTAAATAAGTACCCTCTAGTATAAAAGCTAGTAATACAAAATAAACGCACTGTATTCTGTAATGTTTCCACCAATACCAAATTAACAAATCATATTTCCGGCATGCAATCAAACAAGGCTTTCGCGGCGAAATTGACTATGTTCAATTGACTATATAAACTTTCCACTGAGTATATTAAATGAAGTAGTCTAGTTTGTGTCTCCTTACACTGGACCTCAACGAAGAACAGTTTAATCACTGACTAACAGAGGTAAAATCCAAAACCAAATGATATCACGAATGTTGACAATGAAGAAGTAGATTTTGCAAGAATAACTGTGGAGGAGAAACGACAAATACATGATCTAAATAAGTACCATCTAGTGTAAATAAATTGAGTCAGAGTTCAGTTTAGGTTTCGTCCTGCATGTAGTTACAATGGGCCACTAGACCTCTGTGAGAGTCTACAACAAATAAAGCTATTCAATATAAATAAATTTAGTTTCAATTTCGTTAAATTTAGTATATATATATATATATATATATATATATATATATATATATATATATATATATATATAATCTTGTGATAAAGCATCTAACAAAAAAAGAAAAATAGGAGTACCTTTGACAATTACGTTTCATCCTCTGTTAAAGGACTTTGGTCTTATAATCCGTAAATATATACATCTATTATACTTAGATCCAGAAGCTCAGAAAGTGTTTTCGCCCGGACCATTTGTGGCATTTAAAACTGGCCGCAACTTAAAAAGTTATTTAGTTAGGGCTAAAGTACCGCCGTTAGTGAGGGAAAAGGGGTGTAAGAAATGTAAGAAAGCACGATGTTTAACGTGCAATAATATTCGAGAAACCGACAGCTTTGAGTGTTCAACAGATGGTAAACAGT